AATGTATCAAGGATGGATGAATGTTAATAAAATATTAAAAAAAATACAAAACGGTCTTTGTCCTTCTCAGAGGGCACCATCACAAGCCCCGCTGACAGGATAACTGTACTTCTTTGAACCCCCTCGGATAGAAACAGGGTTCCAAAGCCTCTCTGTTAATGGGGTTGGAAGAGCATCGTAGGTACAGGTATGAAGGGGCTTTAGAGAGTTTGCCATGCGTTTCGTGAGGTCCCATCAGGGGATGGAGGCGTAGGACCATGTCAGATGGCAGCAGAGAACCCAATAGGGATCCTGAGTCAAGCTTTCTGTACGAAACGCTTGGGGAGCATTCCACTGGGCTCTACAGAAGGATCAGTTATGGCGGAAAGGGATAATTCCAGGGTGAAGGTCTCTAGTGGGAGTAGAGGGTCATTGGGAATCTAGGACTGGAGGACAGGAATGAGTGTGTCTGTTTGTCGGGATCGTGGGAGGTTCTTCCTATGGCGTCTTGTGATTTGTGGTGTAAAAAAAGAAATCCCCAGAGGTACTTGTTCTCCAAATGCCACAAGACAGAGGACCTCAAATTACCAAATGTCCCCAGGGATGCTGTTGAAACCTTCTCCTTTGTAAAACATCTTCACACTCCTTACCCAGAATCCCCACAATCCATCAAGGAAGCCAAAGCAGGGACAGCCTCCCTGTTTCATAGACAAGGGAGCTGCCAGAGGGGGTGGGGGAGGCGCGAACTCGGAAGTCATTCACTCAAGCTCAAATCCTGGTTTCTGGTCTTGTGACCTTGGGCAAGTTACTTAACTTGCTAAATTTTCATAGTATCTTAATACATCTCTTGCTGGGTACAAGGAGTTAACTTAGAATCAGCTCCAAATCATCCCATGCCCTTGGTCTCACAATGAATAGAGGAGCAAAATCTTATTTCTTACACTTGTTAACTTGTAGCTGCTCAGGCTCCTTGGTGTGCCTTGCGTTGTGCTAACCAGTGCCGATCCTAGATGAGTGAGCTGACAAACGAGACAGACATCCAGGGCCAACACACATCACAGTTCCTCTGTGAATATTTGAAATGGCCATAAGTGGAAATCATGTAGAAGGGCCATAAAGATCATAGGGATTTAGAAATAAACAGTAAGGCCCATTTTCTGAAGAAAATAGCAATAGTATACATAAGTGAAAAGAAGCACAAAGTACTTTGAGGTTGAAGAACAAGAATTTTGGAGGGATCCCAATTCTTTCACTTACTGGTTTGACTAAGGTAGGTCATCTAAGTCTCTCAGTCTTAGTTTGCTTCCTTTAAAATGGGGGTCCTAGTGTGTAAACTAAATCAGATATTTTTAACATATTGTCCAGAACATAATAGGTATTCAATAAATAACACTTGTGGTTATGTTGATGGAAGAAATGGTTGATTACAGTGAGCTTCTGAGTACAATAACCACATGTTCTTCATATGTATATCCCCTTAGAGAGGTACCATTATAAGGCAACCTGTTCCATACTCTGAGAGGATTAATTGCACGATTCCATTAATCAATAAATGGAGAAAAGTGATGCATCCTTCTGCTCTCTATATGTATGACTGGATTTTCACATAAACAAGGCCCTGTTTAACTTGGTTATTTCCTGAAGGACATGACCTGTACAAACCAAGCACATTTATCAAAATTAATAGGGCCCATTTTTTTCTTTCTCTAATGGATACAGAGACATGCTTTTGTTTTTCCTAAATTCCCCATTACTAGCTCAAAGAAAGCTACCTGAACATACTTATACCTATACATTAAACAATCTTTCAAATTTTATTGAGCATTTCCTGTAAGCTAGACACTGATACAGATAGGAAGATAAGATCTAGTCTCTATCCTTAGCAGAAGTAAATTCCTTCAACAAATTACTGCTTATTTTTTAGAGAGAGAGAGAGAGAGAGAGAGACTCGTCCACAACTGGAAATGTCCCAGTGTTTAAAGCTGACCTGGTGAGTCCCACATAAGAGAAAAATATACACTATGAGTTGGGCAGAGATCCTGTTAATACTCACAGTGGGAATATAATGCCACAATTAATTCCAGGATGAGCTTCAGGACAGTGACTAATTAAAGTTTCATGGCAAATTTCTTCATGGGAAGCTGTCTGCTATAGTTAAATACTAAGTTACTTGCTGCTGTACTGACATTTTTATTTTGGGTGACATAATTTAAGTATATTGTTTCTCACAGAAGGCAATGAACATATAGAATATATTCAGGAAGAAAACTATTTTTAGAATAAACTAAACATACTTCGTTCCCATGAAGAGAAAGAAGCTTCAGGTCAGACTTGAATTAAAAAATGGAAATTACATTGGATTTTTGAGAAAACATGAGTTAGCCCAAAACGCTGAATAAGCACTAAAGGAAAAACTGCCAGAGGTTAAAAAGCACAGCACTGTCAAAGTGTAGGGAACTGTTAACTTGTACGCTAGGCTTTGTTTCAACTTCTGCAAGGATGACTATGACTTACAGAGGCTCTCCTGAATGGAACATTTGTTACAAGAGTGTGCTTTGGAAGAGTTATAACCTACACTTCCCAGTCAGCCTCAGAGAAACACCTGAGTCTGTGATAATAGAGTACTTTTAATATCCTGTATGGAGAGGAAGAATCACATTTCTTTTCATTTAGAGACAACTCATATGAAAGACCCATTTTTGTATCCTCATATGCAGCGAAGAGTTGGAGTTGAAAATATTAAAGCAAACAGAGACTGAACAAATCAGGGTATGATTCAAAGTTCTTACAATTGATTCAGAATAATTTAAATCTTTGCAAGGAACAATGTTAAGGAATAAAAATGAAGGTCAACTTCTATGCAGAGTGAATTCACTTCTCAATCAAAAGAAAGAGGAGATAAAAAATGGGAAATTCACCTGAAATACACTATAATTGAAATCAGGCAAGTAGTTTGTAAAATAACTTACTAAAAAATATAAATAAAACTTAAAAATGTAACTTAGAATAGAAATCTCTTAGAGAAAATAACTGACATCAATTTTATATATGTTTTTCAGATACTTTTCTACATACACATTATACATATATTATAGGTATAGTATTATTGTTCTTTTATAAAAAATAGAATAATACATTTCCAACCTAATTTATGTTGGACACTTAGAAATGAACCATATGGCTATAACACTTTATTTAAACTATTTCCTACTGATGGATATCTTGGCTGTTCCCAGTGTTTCACTATTTCAAACAATGCTGCCATGAAGACTGCTGTGAAATGTGTCTAAGTCCCTGGAATGAGAACTGTTGAAACAAGAGGTATGCAGATACTGCCAAACAAGTAACTGGGTTTCTTATATGTAAAGGGTAACAAGAAAGTATGGTAGATAGAAAGAAACATAAAATGGCAGGAATAAATGAAAATATTTTTTAAGTGGCACAAACAGGAAATATATATTTCTATTAACAGATAACCTCAGATTGGGTTAAAAATAAATACAGCATAAATGCTGAATATAAAAGATCTATCTATATGAAATGAAAAAAGACCACTGATGGTAAAAGGGTGGGAGACAGAATACAGGGCAGTTACATTAGACAGAAAATAATTCGATTGTTAATATTTTAGGCTTTGTAATGGTATCACGGTTATGTTTTTAGAAAGTTCTTAACTCTTAGAGCTATACAATGTAGTGTTTACAGATTAAATGACCTGATGGGTTTGCTTTCAATCCAGAGTGGGTGGTGGGCGTGCTGGTGGGTGGGGCCGGCATGAAAGAAGGCTGGCCTTACGATGATGCTGAGGCTGGGGGACACAGGCTTTATTATACTGCTCTCTATACTACGTAGGTGTTTAAAAATTGTGTTTTAGAATTCAAGTTGAAAACCAATAATGACACAAAGGAAGATACAGTGATATAAACTATAAACTAACATGGACATACACAAAGCTTAAAAAACATATATATATATATATATACATATATATATAATAAAATTGATTAAAATGCAAGGAGAAATGGACAAATCCATAATTATGAGAACATTTTAAGACTTTTATCAGCAAGCGAGGGTCAAGTAGAACAGGAATAGCAAAGATACTGATGGTCCAATTATATAATTAGCAAGCTATACACTTGTTCACACACACATGTCCACATGTATTTGTGCTGGACAGACTACACATCCTTTTCAGATGCTTGAGGAACACCCCTAGATGGGCCACACGGTGGGTTCTCTGTATGCTCAAGTATCATTTGACTCTTTGAAAATTAGAACATATTCATATACTTGCATAATCAAAAATATATTTTTAAAAAAGTAACATTCATAGCTTATTTGGTTGTGACAGGCTTTTGAAACATACTATCTCATTTCATCTCACGTAAAACAGTTGCCCCAGGCCACCAGGACGGTAGGGGGCGGTGGACTTGAACTCAGGGCTCCTGAATGCCAGCGCCGGGTACACTGGCCCTAACACACTGCCTTACAGAATTCTGAAGAAGCTTCAACATCACCAGAGCCTAACTTTCAATTTCTTCTCCAAACAGAACACTTCTATGATTAAAAATTAGATCTGGGTAGAAAACGGACACAGCAGAATACTTTAAAAGGACCAAATTTTCCCTGAGTGTGTCCCCCTGACACTCAGTTTCACTGAAAATCTTTCTTCTCTGATGGCTTATCCATTTTATTTACAGGAATTTTTGTAAGTATTGTGCTCATTGTTTTCGGTTTTTATTTTCACGTGATGCAGCTGTTGGAATTCCTGCAGTGTGAGTTTAGCAGAGAACAGTTACTTCACTACAATGTCTAATGTGGGTGTTAAGCAAACAGGATTCTCTCAGGCCCCTGGGGGGTATTTCCTCAGGCCGCCCGGGGCTGCCTCTGTGACCCGGGGGACGGGGCACTTTCCTGGAGACGCTCCAGACCTGGGGCAGCTCTTCACCCACCGGGGCCGAGGCCGCGGGAGGACACCCAGCCAGCTGTTTGCTGTGCAGGCGCCACGCGTGACTCACCCGATGCGTATCTTCAGCATGCCGCTGAAGAGCTCGGGGCTGGTGGAGATGATCCAGCCCACGTGGATGACCAGCTCCTGCTGAATGACCGCCTCCCTCTCATCGTGGGTGTTGCACTTGGAATAGATAATGTTCTTAATCACTCTTGGAGACAAAGGGTTAGAGATCACCTCTTCTTCATGCCCAAAGGCACCCAGGGTTACCTGTGAGTGGCAGAATTCGATGATAAAAATTTCCTAGCTACTAAAAGATAAAAGAGAAAAACTTCAGGGCTCAGGCTGACTGGCAGGCTGAAATTACTCTGCGTGAGCTAGGGAATTAGGTAGAATAACTGTTCCTGATTTTTATTAAAATGGCTTTCAAAGCATGACTCCCACCGGAGTTCATGATGACTCACAGTCTGGTCTAAAATGAGGGTCCCAGTTCGGGGAGTGGAGGTGAGTGGATAAAAGCAGGGAAGGAATATAAATAACGATTGAGACGAAATTATTCTGAATGACTTTAGTACTAGAAACTCCCCAGAGAAGCCAGAATACACGGAATCGTTTTCCTTTACTCGTAGGCTACACATTTAGTATTTGAGAGCATATATTTCACTCCTTTTACAGTTTCTCATGTGGAACTGTGTGCTCTTTAACGACACTGTAACCTTTTCAAAGCTAAGTATGAGGTCACGCAGTTCTAGTGCGGCCCCCACTTTTCCTGGCATAGTAAGTGCTCCAGCGCTTGTTGATACAGCTCTCCCCTGTGGAGGCGAATAAACAGGGCTGCCCACAAGACCGGGAAACAGGAAAGCACAGAGGGAGATGGCGACAGAAGCTCCAAGCGGGAAGTGCTGCTGAAGCTGCCAGGGCCCCTCTCCTCTGGGCTGGCATTCTGCCTCCCACGGGGGTCTGTGCCACCTCCTTCCCCTCATGACCTGTCTCCCTCCCTCGTCCACGTAGTGCGTGATTCTAAACGAGGCAGGAAAAAGGAGCACAGCACAGGGCTCCTGCGTTTAGAAGGGAGAGAGAAGAACATGGAGTCTTTTGCCCCAGTTTTAACACTTTTCACTTGTAACGGAGTGAAAACTGAGAACTGCTGGTTTCTTATATGACAAGCGGTCAGTCCAAGTGCGACTGCTTTTTACTACTGCATCCGTGTGTAAAGAACACACACGGAGCACATCGTGCCTCTAGAAGCCACGGCGACTACACCGCTGGTTCATCCCGGGGAGCCCGAGGTGAGCGGACGCCACTCGGAACGCTCTGGTCTCATTTCCTTTCTGTGGAGGGGAGATGCCGTCAGTCCACGGACTTCACGCAGCTGGAGCGCAACTGTCAGTCTCCCAGGCTCACCCAGTTCTACACGGGACAGCCTCCTGGGGAGACGCACTGCTCGGACGGGCAGCGGGCCAGCTGCAGCCTCAGGAAGGCTCCGAGGCTTCCAGAATGTGGGGAGCAGGGTCTCAGCATCACACACAGCCAGTCTCCTCTGGGTGGTGTGCAGGATGGGCAGGACTGACTAACCTACCACCCTCTCCCCACGAGTTGGGTGCTAGCGACCTCAAAGATCTCCAAATGCTTCTCATATGCTCATATCTAGCAGGATTAACTATATTTTCAGATATACTACAAGGGCCTAAAATCCAAGGGAAAACAGCTTCCCAAAGCCTGTTCACTTCCTTTCAGAAATAGCTCCATCCAGGACAATACAAGAGTCTGGCTGCAGGGGAGGGCTGCGGTGGGTGAGGAAGGGCCCTGCAGACTCCTGTATCCTGGCCTGTTTAGCTGATGAGTGGGGAGGAAAACTCGACCTCTTAATAATTTGGAGAAAGCATAACATATATGAAAAGTGATCTAACTTTTTCTCGGGGATTTTTTATTACTACAATCATTTTTTCATTGTTATTAAACATTACTGGATAAAATAAATAACTTATTCTTCCACTTCAAAAGCTGGATATCAGGATGCAATAATTTCAGTTTTAATGAATTAAGAGCTCTGGAATATGAGCAATGGGTTGATTTTATTAAAGAGAGTTAAAGTCCTTCCTGACATTAAAGCTTATTATATCTCCGGATTAACTTTCAGGAACATACAATAAAGCACACAGATTCCCAAAGAACAGAAAGAAAGCAAACAGGTTTTCATTCCAACCAAATGAGGATTCAGCCAGGTGATCAGAGCTTCAGACAACAAACCCAAACTCCGCAGCCACAGCCCACTCTGCGTAAGCACAGGCAAGCTCAGTGCAGCCCATATTCAGCGAGTGCCCCAGGCCGGGCACACGGGGACAGGCGCTGGACGAGACCTGGGCCCTGACCTTCACAGCCTGCCACTGGGTGAGAGAGCTGGGAGCCCGGGCAGCTCGGGAGAAATGTCACAGGCCTGTCCTGAGAGCCCAGAGGAGGGAGGGACTGCAGACTGGAGCTGGCCCTGCTGGAAGGGGAGGGGGCAGGACGGGTAAGGCAGCCACTGCATTGCGGAGGAGAACATGCCCTTCACTCGTCACCTGTCTCGGCCTCACCTGTCCGAAACCTGTCTGAGAGCTCCAGTGGGTGTTATTAGTCCATTTTCCGTGTCAGCACCTTCACTGATCTCAAGGTAACACAGGGGTGGAAATAACAGCTGTAAGGTGCAGCAGGAAAAAGGCATGGTCTGTTTGGTAACTGTGCATCTGTAAGACCAGTCTGCTTGGAGAAGGGGCCTCTGTGGACACGCCCGAGCCATGTTATGGTGGTCGTGAGAGGCCTGACACTGGGGCTGTCGGATTTAAAAGCAAGGGTCCTACACAGGAACATCTGTGGCCGTGAGCAAGAGCGAGTCTGAAAATCACATACGTACCTGTTTGCCCTGCACTAAGACATTAGTAATGGACGGGGCCAGGCTGTCCACTACTTTACTTAAAAGGCTTGCTGCACAGCGCACCATCGACCTGGGGGCAAAGAAGAGAGCACGCCAGAGGTTCACAAATCTAAAGAGGTGAGTAAATGGGCCCTGATGGGGAAAACGTGAAGATATGCACCATTAGGTCCTCACATAATCATTTGGAGGAAACGCTGAGCCCAAGACGCTGCACCTAACGGCCCACATCTCCCAGAACGCAGGACCCACCGTACAGGATTAGGGGGGGACCCCATCCTCACCGCTGCCGACAGCATCACTTGTGCCAGTTAAAAAGGTAGAAAAGGGAGCCTAACTATTCCTCTCATCGGGAGTGAGGGAAGGAAGAATTGAGTATTCTGATTTTGCATTAAAAACTCATTATTAAATCTGTCACTGGTATATGTTATCTGTTCCTATAACCACTTTAAATCATGTTTCTTTTGGTGCCTAGATAACCAAATTCCTGGATTAGGGGACTCATTTAGTACTCAATTTTAGGAAGTGATACAATGAAATACCAGCATTTACTTTTCTGGATAAAGCCAGAATGTTGGAGGGAGGAATTCACACTGCTATTTTTACATTTCTGAAAAAGTCTTAGATTATGAGAAGAGATTTTTTTTTTAAGCACAGCACATGCAATACATAAGACACTTTTTTCCCTCAAAAGTGAAAATTCATGTGGAGCTTTCAGATGGGAAAATAAAATGAAAATGTAGGTTTAAATATGTTTTCTTGTATTTCAGGATATTGGTGAAAGCTGACCTATAAAAAGCTTTATATTCCTTAATCTTTATATAGTTGAAATAGTAAAAAATTAGGTCAGTACCTGGTGAAGTTAGTGAAACACACTTCCTACATTTAGAGAAGCTTTCACCCACACACTGTAAGACCAAAGGTATGTCTGGCCCTCGGGATGCAAATCAGCCCACGCATCTCAAGCAGCTGGAGCTCCCACACTCTGTGCATGTTACCTGTTTCCCGTGTACTAGCAAGGTAGTGATGTGAGGGGCTATAGAGGAGGCAGATTTCTGGGTAAATGCAGCCCCGTAGCGCACCGCCAGCCTGGGTGTGTCAGTGGGAAGCCATAAAAGGGAAAATACAGTGAATACAACTTGTAGGAGCGTATGCTTTTACACAGAAGAGTCAGCACCCTAAATGTTGGCTAGCTAATGATTTATCTAAAATGCAAGTATAACGCACAAAGCAAACCCAGGTTTGCTTAGCCAAAAATAATAAAATTACGGACCACGTTTGGAACTTCCTGGGTAGAAAGCAACATCTGTTAGCCTGCCTGCCTGACTGCGCTGAGAATTTACGGCGAAAATGTGAGCTTTAACCACAGGGTTATTACATTACTTCTTCTGGGTTGGAATGGTATATTTATTATAATCATAGAGCTGAAATGCTGCTAAGAGATTTTTTTTTAATCAATACCCTTATTTTAGAGATTAGAAACCTGAGGCTCACCAAGATTAAGGGAGTTTCTTATGACATTTCTTGAATTACAAAATAATGGGTCATTTAAAAAAAATCTTTATACCCTTCCTTTCAAATTGTTAGATTCTGCTAATAAGACTGTTAGAATTGCTTCAAAATGCAGACAGTCATGCACGTAGGCATACCTACCCCACTGTGAATTTAAACAATCCTATCTCAACTTACCTAATTTTGTTTCAGTCCCTGGGGAAAGACCACCTCTGCAGAGCGTGTGAGTTATTTTTCATGAAGCAACTACACTCACTGGATCCATTCAACGTAAGTGGTGAGAGAACTGCCTTCTAAGTGTATTATTTGTGCTTAGGACTAAATGAGCCATTGGCCTCTTTCATGGCCTCTGTGACAGCAGAGCAGGTTTCCTGAACACAAAGCAGGACCTGAAGCACCTCCTGGGACAGAGGAGGTGCAGGGTAGGAACAAGCCATCAGCATGTCACCCAGTGAATAATCACCAGTGTCTACGTCTACAGAGGTCCTTCTTCCCAGACATTCTTTTAACGTCTTGGGAGAGCCATGATACAATGGGATGTAGGCAGGTCCTTAGAAAGTAGACAGAGGCATGGTGCTATAACCTCGGCGTTTGAAAGCAAAAATTAGGATGAATAACCATCTCTAAGATTGGTCCATTATCTTTCGGCTACTCAACAGGACAACACAAAAAATAAAACATAATGACGAGGACACTTATACGAACCAAAGCTTTTTGCTGCCAGCTCTTCTATAGACTCTCTCAATGTGATCAGAAACAGTACCTAGACGTTGGATAATAGAATCTTTGTTGAAAAAATGCTTTTCATTAAATGCATAACATTTATTCTCCTTTAGAAAAATAACTCTTGAATTTTCATGTTGATCCACTGGAGCTGGTACATCCACATCCATTCATGTTCTGAACTACCTGACATATTTAAATATGTGACCCAAATATTTCGTGTGAATGTCCCCAGTCCTTGTTACTATTTAGTTTGAGTAAATGAATTTGGTGAATACTTTAGTTCTTGACATTTATTGTTTTCTTAATATGCAATCTAACTTTTTAACAAATAAAAATAAGTTACTTGAACCTACTGCAGAAAATATAAACCAGAAAATAGCAAATTGAGCAGATACTGTAGACTCTGAATATAAATGATTCTTCAGTTATTTGTTCAACAAAACTTTATGGAGATTCTGTTGTGTGCATAATCATGCCCTCATGTACTATATTGCTCAAAAGACCCCTGTGGTCTCACTCTGGCACCAGCTCACATGTGGTCTGGCCTCATGACTGGTTTGTCAATAAATTCACCATGTGACAGGACAGAGCACCAAAAAGGAAACAAGGGCAAAGAATAAGGTCATTATCATTTTACTCTGAACTTATTTTTATTGCTTTGTAACAAATTGAATCCAATTATATGCAGATTCTGCAGACAGTTATGATTTTTAATACATCACAAGGTTCTATAGACTTAAAACATTTAAAGTCCTTTGAATATCCAAATGAAAGATGGGTATTACTCCCAAGTTTATAAAAATGGTTTAAAAAAATAATTCCTTCAGCATTTTTTATGATAAACTATTTCATATAAGTTTTGTTTTATTTTCAAACACTAGTAAAATAACCATTCTGAAACCTAGGTTCCTAATGAAATGTTTACTTTTCAAAAACCCTATTGTTTGAGTTAAAGTATAAATTTCAGTGAATGTCCTCAATATAATTGGGATTCTGCTTATAGTTCCAAGACTAATGAGAAATGAAGGATTCTGTTTGAGATTTGAAAAGTTCTTCCACCTTTAATTAGTTAAGAAAATTAAGATTATTCCATTCACATGTTTAATACTCTGGAAGGTTATCTCTGAGCTACAATAATGTAAATACTAAGTAGACCTTATTTGAATAAGCAATTACGTTTAGTTCACGACCAAAGGTATGCCCCTGACTAATCACATTGCTGTTTAGAATACTGACTCAATTTCTAATTCTATCCAAGTCAATGTGCCCCTCTGGACAGAGGCCTTTCAGATGAGCTGTAAACTTTGAGCAGCTAGACATTAAGTACTTGAAATGTATTCTACATTATTCTGTACTTGAAAATGCCGGAAGCAGACCACGATGGAGCATTCAAAGACTCCTCAGAGCAGTGACTCAACATACAAATGTGGATTTCAGGGATAATTGCGTTTCATCATGAATGCAGAGTGGACGTGGACATGATCAGAAATGATTTATTTTTGTTAGCAGTCTTTAGAGCACAAGTTATTAAGTGCTATATTCCATTCCAATGGCTGCTGCAGACCATGAGGCAGCTAATTTTTAGAGCTATAACAATTCAATATTGTTCTTGCAAATGTACAGAAAATAAAACTGGAAACAGAAACTGTCCATAAACAACTATGGAGTCATTAGAGGTTAGCAGTCACTGGCAGAATCCAGCTCCAGCACCATTCAGACAATCAGAGAAACAACCAAGCATCACTAAGCAATTTAGGAGTTCATACATCAAACAGTCTATTCCACTCTAGGGGGGGATGAATGAACATTTTCTACTTAAAATTTGAAGGAAAAAAAGATTTAAAGGAGGAGAGAATAACTTGGAATGTGTTGGTGGATATTCACTATGCATGTCTGGTATCTGGTCAAGGTCAGAGCAGCTTCATGACTTGACAGTGCTCTCAGACACGTGCTCTTACCTTCCTCCGTGATGAAGTTGGGGCCTTCTCTTTTGAGTAGTATGCCCAGCAGGATGACCTGGCTAGCCAGGAAGCTGCAGTCCTGAAAATATAAATCACTGAGTCACTGGAGTGAAATGGGTACCGAAGTTACCACAGGGGGTAGCTAATCGTGAACGCACATGATGCAGAGTGAAAATATTCTGCTATGGAATTGAGGAAAGACAAAATGTCGCTGATACACTCCCGAGCATAAGAGGACATTATACAACCATTGTGTTAGATGTCTTGGAGACGGGGGGTACACAAGCTGGCTTCCTGGGGTAGCAGGGACTTAATAATCAAATTTGCCAGGAATCAAGATGAGCAAATGGATAGAAAATATGTTATCTACAAGCATTACCATGCATTCCGCCACTCTCTGAGAGGTTTGGCCCTTTCAGTCACTTAACCAGTCCCTCCCTGCCTTTAGTTTTTCATGAATGGGAGGCCATGTTGCTATCGACCTGTTGTGAAGAGCTGGATGAAGGAAGACGTGTGTCGAGTGCTTCTTAGAATATCAGGGCGCTGCGCTACATGCTTCCCGCCTACTGCATCATGTCCATGCTTATGAAGATCTCCAGGTAAATACGATCAATCACAAGGACCGATGATGTCTGGCAGGATATACATTCAGCCCACATGCTCACATTTTATGGCCCAACAAGACGTCCTAGTCCTACCATTTATAGTCCTACCGTTAGAATTTCATTCCCTTGGATAAGCACTCCACTCTAACCACCCATCGCCCCCCACCCGCCTCTTTCAAATGCACATAACCTTAGGGACGATAAAATATTGGTTGCTAACATAATATTCACATGGATGTGGTCGTAGGATCGCTTTCCTCGGCGACTGGAGAGACTGAAAGCCAGCATTAGGCCTAAGTGCTGGGCAGGACAGGAGACCAGGTTGTCAGAGGCAGAGCCCAAGGCGGCTGGCGCTGCCCAGCTCCTTCAACGGCCTGCACGATGCTCTCCCATCCCAGGCGGCCCGCCTCCCGACTCCGTCCGCATCCTGAAGACATGCGTGCTGCCGTCAGAACCCGAGAACAACCTCACTACTGCCCTGGGACTAGACTGGCCACCTCCAGGTTCCCTGCTGCCTTCTCTGGAGGACTTCCCCTGGGAGCCCCTGCTCTGCCAGCCCCATCCAGGGCCACCTGGGCAGCGCACGGTCCTCACATGCAGTTTTTGAAGAATTTCCTGGGTGGGTCTTTTTCTCCACTCCTCGAAGGTGACATCCGGCTGCAGCTCCAGCTCTGGGGTGCTCGAGGCGCTGCTTTGTCGTTTCACTTTTGAATGCTTGGGAAGCTGTCGTTCCTCAAAACTCTTAAATTCTGGAAGCCTGGAAGTTAAAAGAAAAAGCTTCAGATATCCTGCGTTTCTGATGTAATCTCAAGAAACACAATAGTAACCCAGAGGGGACTTACTCTTCTGAGTCACTGATTCGTAGGAAGTCAAGTTGTTCTACCACCGCTCCCGATATTAGCGTCTGAAATGGGATCAGAAGGTTCCAGCTCTTCAATTCATCAAGCCACGCCCTCAGGACCGGCGCGTATGCTTTACCGTATGCAATACATCGCAAAAAGTTTACTTAAAAAATACATACAACTCGTAAGTAACTTCTTAAACGAGCATTCTAAAATTAGGCAGGTTTTCACAGACAACAAAACCCCCTGAAATAGAACACAGACATCAGGCTCCAGGTTCATGAGTCACAATAAAGAGGAAAGTCCACGAGATGAACTGTATGTTCTCTCTGTTCTTAGCATTGTGGTTATTTTTAAGCTGAGATTAAAATTCATTATCTATTAAAATGTTAAAAGTATATTTTGAAAAAGAAAAAAACCAGAACAAAAACCATGGAACACTACAAGTGTTTGGGGAACAGATGTGAAATTTCACTTTGGATTCTGCTCTGGGAACGTATTTCTGGGTGAGCCAGTGATGGGGCGCTGCCAGTCTCCATGTTTCGGGGTCATGATAGAGGTTGCTTATCCAGACCAGACCTTCTCTACATCCTGGCAACCCACTTGGGTCATTTTGTTTTCCATTAGTTCCTGATTATAGGTTGAGCAAACTAATAAGACTGAACTTGAACACAGCTTTTGCTTGTCGGTGGTTCCTACGGAACAGTATACCTGAACGATAGCCCACAGTGGATTTTAGCAATATGTGCCCCTTCTCATTACCTGATGAGCTGTCAGATAAAACTGAGGGAGGTGCTGCATAAAAAGCAAGCCATAAATTATTATTTTAAAACTAAGGCAATTCTCCAATCAAAGCTGTCTTACATGCATGCGTTTCTGTTTCCTCACTGCTCACTTGAAATGTGAAACACGACCTGGAGTGTTTCTTCTGGTGGCTACCCACCCAGAGCTGTGCTGCCTCCTCCTGTGCTGGGAGCTCACAAGCGAAGTCAGTCTCCCACAAACACCCACTACAATGGCAGGGTGGACATACTCTCAGCTGTCATACCACAGCCTCCTTGCACAGCTGGACTGCAGCTGGCCTGCACATATTGTGGCTCTCCACAGTCGACGTCTGAGGGCAGTCTGGGCCTGGGCAGAGAGCAGGCTCACATCTTCACAGATTGCTCTCTAGTTAACTGTTTGCCAGACAAATATTCACTGAACACCTGCCATGTACTACGGAAGGTGTTGAGATATAGTATGAACAAAATATACAAAATCCCTGACCTCTTAAAACCGACCCTCGTAGGTGTGTATAAGCAGACAACAAATAAATAAATCTAGACATGTCAGATGGTGATATGTGCAGAGAGAAATAACAAAGGTGGGGTAGGAGGCTGCAGGTGATGAGAAAAGACCTCACAGGGTCCCATGGAAGCACAGAGTGGAGGAAGAACTGTAGTCACAGACAGGGATGAGAGGAGAGTACAGGGCCGAGGAAACAGCAGGTGCGAAGGTCCTGGGGCAGAAGCATGCCTGTGACTTAGGAGCAGTAAGGAGGGCAGTGTGGATGGAGTGTAGATGGGGGGACAGTGGTGGAGAGGAGGGCAGAGGAGAAGGCCCAGGTTATGGATAGCACGCAGACCACTGGGAGGACTCTGGTCTTCACTTTGTGTGTGAGTCATTGGAGGCTTATGTTCGATACATGACATAATCTAACTACTAATGACCAGGTACAGTGGGAAGAGGCTAACTGTCTGACCGTCAATAGGAGTTTAGGAGACGACTGTAAAACTCCGGGTGAGAAATGACGGCAGCTTGGACCCTGATGTTAGCGCTGCGATGATGGGAAGTGGTTCGGTTCTGAATGTTATGAGGGTAGAGAAAACTGATTTGATAATAGATTGTAATGTGGGTATATAAAGAGTGAAGAACTAATTAATTTTCAAAGCTGATAAAATTGAAAATATAAGAAAATTAATTTTGATTTAATATATTCCATTTTTATTAGCCTACCCACCCTTATATACTAATTCAGCTCATAAAGTAAATGTTTAATCGGAGTTAATAGGCAAATGCTAAATCCTATTAATAGTCACTAAAGCTTTGGATAAAAAATTTCAGTTGGTTGCAGAGGCTCCTGAATGAACTTTATAAAAAAACATTGTACTTATAATTAATTTGCTAGGCATTAATACTTTAGTTCTGGTGGTAATTAAAAAACTTAATATTGTTATATTTGTGTCAAATGCAATATAATATTGAAAAAGGTACCCTGCTCTGAGATGCTCAGCTATGTGTCCCCAGGGCCTTCCCCTTGGAACAGTCTACCTAAGGCTGCACTCCATCCCAGCATTCTGCAACCTCACCTGATTTGTTTTTGGTTCGGCTCCCCCACTAGAATAAGTCCCATGAAATCAGGGACCTTGTATATTTTTCACCACTATATTCCCAGTGCCGAACAAGGGCACTCAATACATATTTGTTGAATCAATGAACCAGCATTTGCATGTTGCCTACAGGGAGAGCAGTAGTGGGCAGTGCGCTCTGTGAGTGCAGAAATGAGCAAAGCTTGGCCTGACAGTTTTCAATCCACAGAAAGAAGCAGACGCGAGAAACCAGCTCCAGCAAAGGTTCAAGCACCAGGCCAGACACACTGGGAGGAGAAATCAATGCCAGTCTCAGAGGTCTCACTTATAGAGGTGACTCTGACCTAAGTTATAAAATTAAAGTATGACTTAGACAGGAGGGGAAGAAAGGCAACTCTTGAATAGAGTAACAGCATGAGCAGGAAGAGAATTCCAATTGCGTTCAGAGATGTGAAAGCAGACAGTGTGCTTGCGGGGGGGAGTGGGCCCACGGAGAGGATCCTGGGTGACGAAGCTGGGAAGGGAGGCTGAGGCGCGGTGAAGGGCTAAGGAAATCTGAAAAAGCTTGAAACAAAATCCAAGAGATGCATATAGGCACCATTTTCATTTACTATATTAAAGAGAAGACAAAGGCTGGGTTGTTGTTTTATGGGTATAGAGTTTCAGTTTTGCAAAAGGTATCTGTACCCACAAGCCCAAGATTAGACAGTAGGTCATGTCACCACTCTAGACCCCAGCTTCCTGCAAAATTGAGGTTAGAGGTGAGCTTTTAAGGTCTAAAATTCTGGTTGGGAAACCACTGCAATTGTTCAAGCCTCAGACTGGAAGGACCACATAAGCAGGATAGTGACAACAGGGACAGGAAGGTGGGGACACAATAAAACCTAAAGATAAAATCCTTAACGAGAACACATTAAGAAACGTGCTGGGTCTGGGGGTTAGCTGTCCTGAAAACAGAAACACACTGCGTTCAGAAGACTACCTGTAGACGGTCGACGTGGACTTTGACCCCTCCAACCACTCCTTTTCTAAAAGCTGCCAGCATATCCAAAACGGGGTTGAATCGGCTGCCTCTAAAAATAGAAGCAGATACACAACGTGTACGCATTAACAACAGAATGGGAAATTCATAATCTAATTCTACGTTCCCCTCACATACGCAAAGCGCTCCGCCACCCAGGGAGGGATCCCAAATGCCAGGAGGCCATGCTTCCACAGGGCCACGGCGGGAACGCCAGGCGCCGTGTGCGCCTCGCTCCATCCACCTACCGTATGTTGTCTTCCCGGATGAGAACAAGGAACAGCGGACGTCCGTGCATTTTCCAGTATTGTTTAATGAACTGTAGTGCATTCTATCAAAACAGAAGGATGAGGTGGTGTAACGGCCCGTTATCTGAACTGATCAGGATGCTTAACCATTCATGGCAAAGAGCCCACAAAACTATGACACATCCAAACGGTTCATGAGCAAGCCCTGGGTAACATCGACTCTCCAGGAGTAGAAATGTTCCCATATATACAAGCGTACAAGTATGAACAATGCAAGCTAAGCTGCGAACCATTTTTAAACTTCATTCTTTAATCAGAGTGCACACGCTTAAGGATGCTTCTGGAGGGGTGGCCTAATAAATACAGTTCAAGAGTGGTCCCAGGATGGAAAACTCAACAGGGCTATCATCCAGATGAACTCTCATCCACATAATTGTGGGCTTAGATTACAGCAGATGGAAGAGATGAGACTGAGTCTGTACCATCGGAAATGAGACGCTTGTTTTGACTCAGTTTCTGTTGTCGCCACCATCCTCAGCGTCACATCAGAGATTCACAAAACACTTCGCCACGTGCCAGGCACTACTGCGAGTGCATCATGTATGTTAACTCATTTAATCCTCGGAACAGGCCTATTGGTTTTCAGTTATAATGATGAGAAAACAGAGACAGAGAAATTAAGTAACCTGTCCGAGATCACACGGCTGGTAAATCGTGGGGCCAAAGTTTTACAAAAGCAGTCTGGCTCCAGACGCCATGCTCTAAGCTTGCCGACAGTGCAAATGGAAAAGCGAGGGGAGGAGATTTTAACTAACTGGGGGTCATGAGTTAGCTGGGGTTTTACTTGGCGTGTCTCATACATAAAATTATTTTGCTGACTCAGCTTCTGTTCCAAAAGCGATAAGTCATTACTATGGCATGAACATGGTTTCCAAAACAGGTGCCCCTCTTTTTACAAACTGTCTCCTTACATTCCATTTCTAGAAGTACAACAGCAAAGTCATACAACTTTTCATAAAACTGCTGCACCCACCACTCTAAGGCTGCAAGTAACTGACCTCTTTCTCCAAAGCTTATGCAGCTGCGGTGGCACTTTTGCACTGTATACGGTGTTACCCAGGCATCAGACCCAGGAGCACTCAATGTAATAACATATGATAATATTAGTTGAAACAAAGTCATCCCATTTCAATAGAAAGGTCTTCCAAAGCTACCTTTATGTCATCTATCAGCAGTAAAACATCCTGAGACATGTAGAAATCGCTTAGGTCAAAGATGATAGGGTAACACACCACAGTCTTTCCCAGAATGCGATAAATCTGTAAGGGACAATTCAAAAAGAGACGAAACAGACTCAAGGCAAAGGCATAGCAACATAAGCCCTAATAAATTTTAAAACTGATGTTTTATTCTGAATAGGCAAATAAAACAGTATCTTGTAAAATCCGCATAATGTCAAGAAATTTTAAAGTTTCCTGATTGAATCAGTACGCTAATAAACTTAAAGTAGTCCGTGTCTACTATGGTACGAAAAGCCTGTGTGAGTAAAACTACTATAATCAGTTATGTTACAACCTAGAAATAATAGTACAGTGAGATGCTTATTCACTCCTGGAAAACTCCTGTGATGTCATACATAACAAATAAGATTTATTTGTAGAAAACAATAATCCAATTAGCTCAAGTAATAATGCAATGTGAGAATGGCTACACAGCAGGTCGAACATCAGTTTGGTCCATGGTACGGTAATCTGAACATTTCCCTGAACAAGGAAATCTCACGAGCACCTTTGACGTCCCCAGGCAGCCAATGGGCCTGTCGGGCCTTCCGGAGAGTCCTAGCTTTTCATTGATGCCCAGATGGAAATAAGCCTGTAAGACACAAATTTGTGAATCAGACTCGGGCAAGAATCTGTGCTCTTCCTCTTTGGCGTCCCCTCCAGCCCCCCAACTACTGCCCTGCTTATTTCTGATTTTTTTCAGAGAAAAAGAGGCCAGGGAAACCTTATTCCATGGACTTGGATGCAAACAAGCGAGCCCATGATGTCAACTGAGAGATGTGAGAGCAAGCTTCCGCAGATCCACTTAGCCACACTCTAAACACAGACACTGCGCTCACACTGTTATAAATGTACAACTTACATGGCTCTGATTTATCAAGGGGCACAAAGAGACAGATGCTTTCTGTATGATAAAAATATAACTATTTAAAGTTTTTAAAAAATGGGGCCACACATCTCCTTCTAGATTTCTACCTTTAAGTATTTCCCACCAAAATAGAAATGTCTTTATCGGTTTTTCTGATTACATAAATTTTATGAAAAATTTAAGCCATATGCTACAAGTAAATGGTCCTGCTGCCTCTCACAACCCCTCAGGCAAATTTGGTGTATGTTAAAAGGAGCGTAATTTTTTGTGTGATTCCTAAGAAACCCCAGAAACATAAGACATGGTAACAGATTGTTACAGTACATAGATAAATACACGTATACCAAACACATATATCAATTATACATTTACATAAATGGGTTCATATACTAGATCATCTGTTCAGTGTCCCATTGTTAGAAACTTAATATTGTGGTGTTCCAATTTCAAGAGGGTAAACTGAGTCTACACATTCATCTATATTTCAATGTGGAAATTATTTAAGAATTATAAAGACTGGAAAAATATCTGTAGAAGTATTAGAAAAGAGAAGGGTGCCACAGTGGAGCAGAAACATCTAGAACTTCTATAAGTAATTGCAGATGGACTGGGAATGGACTGGGGCTTGATCAGTGCCAGAGCTGAGCACTTACTCAAAAGGCCTAGGCACCCTACTTGAAGCCTAGCCCTGATGAAGTTTGACACTGATCCCCTGATGAAGACAGCTCCCCATTTTTTGTTATTTCAAAACTATAATAATTCAGTAAACATCTTTGGACAGGGTACTATTGTTAGTGCAGGATAATTTCCGCAACTTGCTGGATGAAGGAGAATGTACCTTCTCTTTGAAAAGTAATGCCAGGTTGGTCACCCTCTAGAAATAACAGACCAATTTACACTGACATTAATAGTGCATAGGCCATTTTTGTCACTCTCCTGGGTCAAAATGAGATTATCTTAGTTTCGAACTGCTATATTCAATTATTTTGTGGTAGACCATTTTACCATATATTTAATGGCTATTTGTATGTTCTATACATTTTTCTCATTTGTTCCCTTTTCTACTGGGTATTTGTCATTCTTTTTGATTTGTAAGAGATCTTGGTATATGAAGACCCTTTGTACCAAATATTTTACCCAGTTTGCTCATCTTCTGTGTTATTATGAAATGTGAGAATGGCTGCATGGTAGGTCAAACATCATTTCAGCATGTGGTGTTTCAATCTAAATGTTTTTCTAAGAAATTTCACAAGCACCTTTGTGTGCCAGGTTGCTGATGCCACCTTCAGCTATATTTTGTTAAGTTCGCCGAGCATTTTCTTAATGGATTTTTGGCGCTGGTATTATTCTAAGAGTAGACTTCCCCTTCCAACAGTTGTAAACACATTTCCTATTTTTTCTTCTAGGGACTTTATATTTAAATCATTTAAAAAAATATTTAAATCTTTAATCTGTCTGGAATTTATTTTTGTATTTGATGAGAAGCAGAAATCTAACCTAAATTTTCCTAAATGGAAGAGTGAACCAACTGTATCTACAGGATCTACCTCATCATATACAACACGGACGTCACCACCTGTACTCTCAGTTCACTCTGCGATGGTGCGCACATCTACGTTTAGATCTATGGCTCTTTCTCCGTCTGCACCAAGTGGGCACTGTGCCCAGCATGTAGTTGGTGCTCAGGAAACATTTGAGGGGTAAAGAGGGAGTGACTGGATGTCTCCTGGGCCACGTGTGCAGTGAACACTGAGTCTGGGCCAGCAGTGGGCTCAGACAACGTCAGCTGCAGAGCATGCTCACTGCAAGCGTTACATCGGACCGCTCCACTGAAGCGTCCGTGCTCAGCACCAGGCAGAACCCCCCTTCCCTCAGCTATTTGCATTGTCCAGAAATGAATGTATGTCTAAACTACTCCCGATTTCTTCTTTTTGAGTCTTTTAGAGTATATAATTTTAGAGTATAGATAATTATATTAATCAACCGTGCACAAGTTAAAACGTTCTGATCTAGGTAGACTTCCTTTAAATCTGACTATTATAATAAAAGGATTTTCCTTAACTTCTGGGACGTGGCATAGCACGCCTACAACAATGCAGGAATCAGACTGGGCAGGCTCCCTGCATTCCAGGTGCCGATGAGACTGGCCCCACGTTGTACACACTCACACCATTTAATGCACTAGCGTACAGAGCAGGGACCAAACCACCCAGCAGTGCAGAAACACCTCATTCTAGATCTGCACAGTATTCCGATTTCCCATGAGGTGAATCGCACCAGTCACCACCTCATGACACACAACACACACAGTGAAAGCTCCGTTCTCAGGGGTCTGTCCTCACTTGTCTTCTGGGGCCGGAGGAGGGCATAGCTTCTCAGAAGAGAGCACCGGCACAAGCAGAGTGGGTGAACTAGGATTTGAGGGGGCACTCTTCTGTGTAAAACATAGACCTGTAAGAAGCCATATGCTAGGCAGGATATCAGAGAGCAGACTCCCAGAGGGCAGCTGGTTGGGGCACAGAGGCCGTAGCCACAGAGAGTCGCCCACTTGGACCCACGCATGAGGAAGCCGGCTCTCGGTCATCACACGCTGTCTCTGTAGCCGTACCACACACCCAAGTTGTAAGCATTGGTTAGTACCATGTTTAAAACAGCAAAATATAAAGTGAAGGACCTGTTATAACGCCACCTCTGTGATTCCACAGCACCCGTGCAAACACCTATTGTGGCACTCATCAAAGTGGTTTGTCATTAACCGTTTTTTTTTTGTCATACCACTAGACTCAGAGGTCACCAAAATCAGGGACAGTCATTTTACTGAGTGCCCCACAGGTGCTCTGCACACAGCACATGTGTGATGAATGAATACCATATGCCATATTCAAGTCGTCTGGAGCCACGTTGGTCTCCTAGATCTTGACTGCATGTTGTTTGGTAGAGTCTAGACCCACTTACCGTGAAAAAAGTTGCTAATATAAATTAGGCCTGAAGAAAACAGAGCCGGGTTAATTTGCTTGGAGAGTATGCTTCTCAAAGAATAATAAATAACCTTTGTTACCGCTCCCTGGAGCGTTCCGAGGGAGGTCACGACAGCGCATCAGCGAGCACAGTCTGCGCCTGAGGAAGCGCCTGAGACGAGCCCCACGCCGCTCCTCTCTGGCTGTGGAGCCTCAGTTCTCTCTGGGGCTCATTTACGCGCTTCTCCCCTAAAAACCAGCTTCCCGTCATTTGGCTCTTGGGGTGGCTTTACAGTGTTACCTACTCTAGGGGGCCTCATCTCTTCAGTCGGAGGAAAGGGCTCCAGCTTTGTTACAGGAGGTTTCAGGACCCTCAAAGGGCTGAGCTCCGGGGGCCTGACACCGGGCTCTGGTTTCACAGGCAGTGGGAAGGGTCCGGCCTCCTCGGCAGCCACCCCGAGCCTCGCGCTCCCTCATGCAGTGTGGACCTCACCGCTCGAAGCTCTTCGTCTCTGTTGGAGCATCGAGGCTTTGGTCACAGACATTTATATCAACCTAAGGGACTTAGTCTCAGTCATTTGAGGGACTCTTTTAAACACTTCCACCAAATGCTGCGGAGTTGGTTGCTGTATACTGAACAATTGCCAAATAAAAATGAAAGCTTCTGAGTCACTAGCGGACGCCGACAGGTTCCCATCCCGAGAGAGCAGAACATTCCTACACAGGGGCGCTCTGCACCGCCGCGGGGCAGTGCACGCAGGGGCCTCAGAAGCAGCCTTCTCATCTAATCGAGTAGGCATGTGACCCCACCAAAGACAAACGCGGAGGTTGCTTTATAACCAGCCTGACACCCAGCAAACCAAAGAACTAGGAGTTACTTCTGACGCCAAACAGGAAGAAAATAAAGGAAAGTAGTTAGTACTGATAAACATTTAGATGAGGAGGTTTAACCATTAATAAAAGGGAAAATAATCAAACCAAATGTAAAGGTTAATTTACACAACTACTAAAATTAAGGCTGATTTGTTATTTACGTGCTCAGTCTAGGTTAGTAATAGACTTTAGCAAGGAGAACTCAACAGGCCATGTGCATATACCGTGTTTCCCCCAAAATAAGATCTAGCCTGAAAATAAGCCCCAGCATGATTTTTCAGGATGCTCACAATATAAGCCCTACCCCAAACATAAGCCCCAGTTAAGATCGTCAGCCAGACATGACTGTTTGAATAAATGTAGATTTTTATATATGAGTAAATGAGTAAATGTAGACTGTTGGAGCAAAAATTAATATAAGACCCGGTCTTATTTTGGGGGAAACACAGTAATGTATACACACACGGACCAGTTGGTCTTTCAGTGACAATGTCTGCTAAAGCGGGTTTCTCCCCTGAACTGGAACGGCTTTGGGGTTGACGGCGCTGTCTCAGAGCTGGATTTTAACTGCTCCTCCTGGCTGTACATGAAGTCCCTCCCCGGGCCAGGCCCTGGCGGCTCTGCACTGCGGAAGAAACACACTCCCTCACCTTCACGAGCTCCTGCTGTGCCCATATCTGAATGGGCTCCACCTGCTGAGGAGTTTGCGTCTGAATGCCGTACGTGTTGAGGAAAACTTGAAGGCTGAAGAACACAGGGAAAAAAGAGAGAGAGGTTTTGAGACAATGCATCGAATAGTTTGGAAAACGCAAGGCGGGGGTGAGGGGAGACAAGGGAACAGGCTGTGCTAAGTCGGAGCACATTTTTAATGTGTCAGTGTTAGCAATATGCCATCTGCACTGCAACCTGGACGCCCTCTCGGGTCTTCACCAAACGTCAGAGGGCAGCTCCGGGGACTGGCACAGAGGGTGAGCGCTGATGGGGGGGGGGGAATCCCCACCATCTGTTTGAACTCGTTTCTCAAAAGTGCACCCCGGGCAACGCTGGCACTGGTCACAGTCTAATATTCACATCAACTAAAAATGATTGTTCAACATGAAAGGAATGCTGTTCTGGCACTTACAGTGACGTTAATGACATCCTTAACACCCCGTCAAGGGGTCTATGAAATTAATCTCTACTGCCATGCTCAATATTGTAAATAGGAAGCAATCAGAGAGCACACCGCCCACGTGGGTCTCCTACCGTTGGCTTTCCGCTATGAGCGCCACGTGAACCACCAGGTCATTTTCCAGGGGGCCCTGTAATACAGAAGGAGGGGGAAAAGGCGTTAGGAGACCTGGTCATCATCAGCTGCAATGAGTCAAGGACAACAGCAGCCATCTCTAAGCAGTTCATTAAAATGACGGACACGAGCTGGCTGTAAGTGGTCACCTCTCTTAGCTTGCTCTCCACCGCCTACTCATCAATTTGATGGTGTAGACCGAGGAGGAATGGAGCACCGAGGAATGGAAAGCCATAAATCTCACCACTACCGGAGGGGCCAGCCTGTCAGGGCTATTTTGAATGATGCATAAGAGTAGTTTGGGGACTGAGAGTCATTTTCCATCATTTAACTCTGAAGGGAAGAGGAGGAACTAAAAATAAAAACCCAATTTATGTATTCAGTGTAAAAAAATGATTGTGAGTTAAAATCGTTCATTTGACATCTTAACCACGTATAAGGCTATTCCCTTTTTTGTTAGCCCATTTTCCTTTGGCACCTTATACATCAAAGTGGCTTTATTGCCACATATAGTTCCTACGGTAGAGAAGGAACTACCCCGTGACTATTAATTAGTTCTGTGTTCATGAAATACAAGCTGTTGGGCTTAACACTTCTAATCAAAGACAGTGCTGGATATCTGCTACTGTTCTGTGTGTGGAAAAGATTCACTATAGCATCTATTATACATTGTTAAAATGAACCCACTTTCGAGCCTAGGAACAGGGAACATTAAAGGAGCATCAATAAATTACAGTGTTAGGAAGCTCTGAAAATACTGATCAGGTATAATTTCTTTATAGTAATGAATGTAACATTCCCCAAATTATGCTGTAAAACATTTGATTTACCATTAGTCAGCTCCTCTCTTGGTATTCAATATGCCACTAGAATTTATGTATGATGGAAGGCAAGAAATACCAGAATACATATATCAGCAGTAAATATTGTACACTCAAAGGTATGGTTCCCAGAATCATCATGAAAATGCCATTTCAGGCAGACTTCCATGTGATTTAAATGACTCCATAAGAGAGAATATGATGGAACAACCCAACAAAAATAAATATGTATTTAAAATGCTATCAATTCTACTTTTATTTGATAAAGACCTTAAAAGTTAATGTTACTCAAAAGGATGAGAAAAAAATTAATTATTCAGAGGCTCATCAAGATTTCTAATGACAAATGAAGGCTTAAGCCTTATTTTTCTTGGATGAGAATTAGTATTTACTCATCAAAAAGAAGAATAAGTTTAGAATGGGCCATTATCTATAATCTTCAGGACAATTATGGATTCTTAAATAAAAAGCAAGTGAGTGAATCCATATACTAGAATGCAGATAACATTTCAATCACAATAAATAAGGCAGCTTCCAGGTCCTAATTAGCAAATTGGGATCTTCTTTCTGAATCATAGGCCTGTTTAGGATAATGTGGTTTCCGTTTGTGTGCCAGTGTACTCAGGTCTAAATGCCCACTACACATGTTGAATCACAGTGAACATCTGGTTAGGGGACTACTAGATAGCTTAAGAACTCTCATTGTGAAAACTCAGCATTTCACAAGGTTCCAATTCACAAACCATCTACCATAACGCGCCTAGGCCTTCCACCCCAGCCCAGGTGGGACCCTTCACCCTATTTCCATCCACAGAAAAAACTCAGTGTGGGCAGTCCCACCCCAAAAATGCCTTTTACTGACAATGTTGGAGCCATCTTTTCTATTTTCATCAGTTTCTTCAAAGCACCAACATTGCTGTCTAAGCCCATGTAATCCCTCTGAAAACTTTCTAGTATTAATGCCTTCTATTTCTGAATATTTTCCTAAGTAATATTGTATTTTCTGCTTGTAGGTTCACAACACACACACACACACACACACGCGCGCGCGCACACACACACACTTACATACTCTTATACATATGCATCCAGTACTCGAGCCTGTGTGGCCACGTGCTCTCCGTTTGCACACGCATTTACACACTCGTTCATCTGCCCAGCAGCTAAGGCACGCTAATCCACAGGGCTCCATGCCAGACCCTCATGGCACAAGGTGAGGAGGGCCCCGTGTCCCTCCCTGAGGATTTAGAGTCTGTTGGGAGAGGTCGATAACAGGTACGTTTTCAAATATATGTTTATCATCATGTAAAAGTTTTTCATTGATATCTTTCTTTATTTCATTAAAAAAAAAATGGCTGCAGGGCCATTGTATAGGGCATACCATAATCTAGTTCAGGAACGTTCCTTTTGATGGACATTTAGGTGGTTTCCAAATTTCACTTCTACAGAGGACATAGTCATTGTCTCTATCTCAAAGAATTGCTGAGGATTTACCGCTAAGCACAGTATTTGACACAAAATAACAAGGCAGTGACATTTTGCTCCTTTTGTACGTGGTATTTTCACACCTCTCCTAGGACAGCTGCCCCTCTCTTCCTTGTTGAAATTTGCAGGAATACCTGTGTTACCCTACGTCCCACTGCCTTCCATCTTTCTAAGGCACTAGGACCATCCGTTATCCCAGTACGCCTTGTTCTTCGTCAACGAATACCAAACCTCTTTGAAAAGAAACCTTCAGGTGATTGACCACCTTCCCAATTTTCCCTCCATTTCTTTTTCGAACACAGACTATAACTACCTCCTTACCTTCCTTGCTTCTGCAACTTTGTGCTCCACCATCTCACCTGCTTTGGCTTTAGAGATGGAGACCGTCACACTTAGGCCTTGGTCTTCTATTCATCCCACTTATTTATCTTTCCTTCACCAAACAGTTCACTCTGGGAGCATTAATCATCACCTCTAAGTAGATGACTCCGTATTTATATTTCTAGTCTTGGACTTTCTTTTGAGTTCCAGTTCCCACCTTTTTAATTGCTTTCTGGACATTTTCTCTTGGTTATTTCCAAAGCCAATAGTTCTAAAATTCAACGAGTGAGCGCCATCTCCCCCGGAAGCAGGCTCACTCAAGCCCAGAACCTCACCACCATCTCCGAGTCCTCCTTTTTCCCCTCCGCATCCAGTCTGTCACAAAACTCCTGTTAACTCTTCCTTCATAAAGTATCTTGAATCCTCTTTTCACTTCTATAGCAACACTCAGGATTAAAATGTAATAGCGGCAGCAACAAACACGTTACATAACCCTCCACATTCTGTGTGCAAGGCTCGGTGCTAAGAGCTTTAACTAACCATTATCCCCATTTCACAGAAAACAAAAATGAGGCCCACAAAGCTTAGTTATCCAAGGTCACAGAGCTAGTACACAGCAGAGCTAGAATTCAGACCCAGGCAGTCTGACTGCAAGCCTGTGCTCAGAATCCCTCACTTATTCTGCCTCTCAGAGTGGAGAGAGCCGATTTTAGAACAGAAAGACCCACACACAAGTCCCACCTTGTCCCTTCTGTACTTCCAAAATCAGGCTTGCCCAAATAAAGCCGTCTTCCCCAACTTCCCACGAACCTTTCTAGCTTCACTGCTGCCTGCAGTCCCTGTTCATCTCCCATCTGTTTGCCTTGAACACCCCACTTAAAAACAAAAATCGCTCCTGTCCATCCCAAGTTTCCGTGCCCGTCCTCCTCCATGTGGACGGCCCCGTGCATTCCTGTCTGCTCAGTTCCTGGCGCACTCTTCCCACCAGTCTCCTCCAGAACCCCCCCAAACACCAGGGTGTCCCAATCTCTTCTGTCCCGATTGGTCAGAACAGCTACTGTGTGAGTCACCTGGCAACACTCATGCCACCTTTTGGAAGGGCTTCTGCTTGCTGATGGGTGGACTGCGTAACTAGCGCGAGCCCCGAGCGGCCCCTCATGCTCGCTTTTCTCACGGAGCTTGTACACAGCGCTTTATACTAAAGGAAAAGCGACTGCTACTCATGGGATGGTCTGGAGGAAGTATCTTTTCTTGTTCTTTTTCGAATTTTAGAACTGCTTCTTACATTTATTAGCACTACACCAATCTTCCCTTGAGCATAGGCAATAAATGCTTGCAAACGTGAACAAGTTATTTTTAACAAAGGGAAATAACCTAATTAAGTGTACACATATTTATATAAGCTATCAAGACTTGTACACACGTCATTTTAATTATGTGATTGAGGACCAACAACCTATAGTTGGAAATATTTAGATTTTAAACTTCCATTTCTAGAAATAAGTGAAGTCAGATTGGAACTTTAAAACATTTATTGTGATAAAAACCCACACCACGTAACATTTACCATCATATCCATTTTTAAGTGTACAGTGGAAGAGGAACTTTTATAGCATGACTTGCCTGTAAATTGAGCACTATTAATATTGCAACTTATCTTACTCAAAATTTAAAACTACAGTAATTAGAACACTGCATGTACACCTGTCTAGATTCTACTTCCCGAATTATCAAGTCAGGTCAAAGTGGCAGCCTAGGAGACTTGCAGCTGGGAGCCAAGAATAAAACAGGGCAAAGCAATATCAAAAGGGGACACACAGAAACTTCATGTGAATGTGCCCTGTGGTTTGCCTTTCCCTTGTTCTTTAATTTATCAACAGATAATGAATTCAGATGGTTAAAAAATTTTCAATTATGAAACGTTTCGGTGAACGTCTCTCCCACCTGTGGGCCCTGCATTCACCGGTCCCCCACCGGCCACCAACCAGGTCATGGCCACGGGGACTTATGCCTCTTTCCAGGGTTTCCTTTTGCCTATCAAAGCAAACAAGAATCTATTTTCTTACTTTCTCACATTTTTAGACAAAAGGCAGCATATTACAGTCATTTTTCCACTTAATAATACATCATTGTGTTCTTTTCATGTATTAGTACACAGAACACGTCCTCCTTTCTGTTATAGCTGCTTAGTATTCCGTTTCGTAGCTGCATCGTACTTATAGTGTCATTTTTTCACATCTTTTATCATTTACGGCTAGTCAACCTTCTGCACTGACTCTCCGGACATGGTTATGGTCACACAGTGGAGCAATAAGCACTAGGTTTTACTTTTGCTCCTGAGTGGAAGAAGTAGTCAGCCTCAATCACGCAGAGGCATTACCACCACTGG